GCACACACACACCGCACACCCCGCACACACACACCGCACACCCCGCACGCACACACACACACTGCGCAGCTGTCCCCCCGTCAGCAGCGAGCGGTGAAACACCGGTGTCAGTATTTCACCCCAGACGTGCCCCAACAAACTCCTTTCCACCCCCTTTAACAGATCAAGTGACCCAATGATAGAATACAGAAAATTAACCCTTTTTATTGATGCATTTCAATTGTTCTACATTTTTACCATATTATGTAGAAAATACTTAAAATACAAGCTACTTTGTAAAACCAAAGACAAACATTGAATCCAAAGATAAACTATGTTTTCACAATGGACCCTTTTCCCATATAGTTAGTATTAAATTTTTAAATATCTATTTCTTTTGTTAAAATGATTTTTACATACCCCCTAAGTACATCAGCAATACAAACATAGATCAGTAATTGTCAGAAACTACCTGTATCTAGCGGCTTGTAAAAAGGAAGAGCACAACCATAAAAGAAAGTTAAATTTTACACAGTAACTAGCATATCAAATACATTTAATAAAGTAGGAATTCCATTGCAATATCAAGGATTCAAGCAGAAATACTAACATTACATATAATGTACTGCTACATGTAGTGAGATAGATATATTTCAAGCTGAATCTGAAATCACACATTATATAAAGTTTAGCAACAAACAACCATGTGGACATGCGGCACCATTCAGAAGTTTAAATAAAAGAAGAAAGCAGGGCTGTGCCAATCCTGTCATTTAGAAGCAATTTAGTTTCATGTACTAAAAGAAATTGCGAGTCAGAGGTAAATTACTGCATCACATCAGCTAGGTGCGAAGCAGGAAAGCCTCAGGAGTTGCCTCTGCAGTGGCTGTCACAGCTGCTAATGCAGGCCAGGTCACAGAACAACCGATGGGACAGCTCAGGAATCACACAGACAAGTCTAGATGGGACCACAGTTACCAAATATTCAGAAGGTGAATCCCAAACTAGTTTTAAAAAAATTAGAGGACTCCAATTTCTATTCAGAGACAGCATATTTCTTTACAAAATATGTGTAGTGGCTCTGACAACAAGGAGAATAAATTCTTGAACGTAATTTGAAGGCTGGATGTGCAAGGGAAGAAGGGAGGTATCTCCTTAGAGCAGACTATGATACACTTGAATTGGGCTGCAAGGTCCTGGGGCCAGACTGGGACCTGCCACATCGGGGAGGCCAGAGCTGAGATGAGAATCTGGCCCTGCTGGGTGGGCATTTTGTTTGCTTGGTTTATGCTGTGTATCACAGAGGAATTTCAGGGTAATCAACATGTTTAAAATGGAGTATATTTCATTCTACCTATGCCATTTCTATCTTGTTCTTTTTGATCTGATATTTTTGGAAAGTGGGGACAATGGAAGAGATGACACCATGCTTTGTGAATATTTTGATTGGGTTTAATTACATAATAAGGACTCTAAAGATGAATGGTCATTTTAATCAACTTTTTTGGGGGGGAAGTGGGCAAGCTCTTCTTAAACTTAGCAGATTTTGCTACAAGTCTTTTTTTTTCTTATTAGGACTTAATGGAAAACACACTATTATTTGTGAAACAGAACATAATGTTTTCCTGAAACGTGGGAATTGGAGCTTGCCTTGCCTTTCAGTGGAAAGGCACAACTGTGTACCCACAAAGTACCTCGAGGCAAGCACTGAATACAGCAATGTAGTATGGAAAAAGAAAGTGCCTACAGCAACAAGGAGCATCGTGACACTGTGATGTGGAACACGAGGGGGTGGTACCTGCACACTTCCAGAAGTGCTCTGACCACAACACACCAAGCAACATTGCTAATGCTACCGTCCAGTTCCAAAGTCCTTGATCCCTCTATCAAAAGAGATGCCAAACCTTTAACAGTTCACCAACTTCAGGTGAGTCCAGACTTTCTTCCATCAATAAAGTGGAATTTCAGAAATTACTTTTGCACTTCTTGTCACATACTGGTCAAACAACTGGCCACTTTTCCACTGGGATGGAACGTAAACTGGGATTCAAGGTTACCAAAACCTCTTATTGCTGCAGTGATACGACCACTCAAGACAGTCTGTAATCCATTTGGACAAGATACTTAATCTATGTACTGAAGATGATAAATAATTCTTATCACAAGGGACCCTAGAAAACAAAGTGTAGTTTAAAAACTGCACTGATGATCCGAAATGAGAATTTCCTCTGAACACTAACTAGGGCTACAGCTGACAAACCTTCCTAACAACTCCACTTTAGCAGTAGCATTAT